TTATTACATACTTCTCAATTTAAGCCGAAAACTATAATGTATTACTATTATGATAATGTAGGTACGCCTGATTTTGATAATAATAGAAATATAATTTTCATATAGTAGCACTAATCAATGGCGGAAAACTGTGTATTTTTGAATGAATTCTTATTTGATTTGATAATCCTAAATAAAAAAAAAAATTAATAATTAATGGCGAAATATATTTTAAACCTAATAGGTATGTACAATGTACATATTATTATAGGTACCTAAATCTTGTAGTGGATCACTTCTATAGTAAATTGGTAGATCACCTGCTATACAAATGCCTTTTATAGTGGTTCATAATAATAGAAACATAAAACGGGGTGATTTCAGTCACGACATATTGAAATAGCTAAGTTGTTTTTTACATATTACCTTATTGTTTATAACAATATTCATAATTATTGTATTGTTTAAAAAAACATAATATTATATAAATTAAATTTGAAATATTTAACTATTCATAGTCTTTCACTATTAATTAATTTTAAAGTGGTTCACAATATTATAAATATAAAATGGGATAATATGTAGAATTTGCAATTTTTAATTAAGTTGTTTTTAATTAAAAAATATAGGTAAAAAGTACAATAGTAAACATTTTATTAATTGCTATTTGTTACCTTAGGTCGAACTATGGTCGAACGGTATAGAATTTATCATTTATAGCTCCTGGTCTTTACGATATTTGCAGAGGTACTGATTATAATTTATAACGCCTCATTCAACCACCAACATTTTGAGAAACTGTATCTCGCAAACGAATCAACGAAACATAAAAATTTTAACTCACAAATTCATAAAAAAATTAGTTTTACTAATTCATGACCTTTTTATTACATGTTACCATTTGAAAATCAAAAGTTGATAGTGGTTTCACCAATAAATATAAGGGTGAAAAAACTTAAAATAGTATACAGTTTTAGAAAAGCATAAATCTAACAGTTTAAAAAAAAAAAATAAAAAAAAGTTAATACTTTTCGAAATAATTAGTGTACCCACTTAAATGGATCACCCTGTATACCTAGTGGGAATTTTACGTTTTATTCGTTTCCATGGTATGAAACAAAGCCCTTCGCAAAATCGGTAAGAAAATAAAAATATCTGCACCCATCACAAAAACATATTTGTGTTAAAAAGAGGGTTGCCTCACCTAAGAGCCAGAATAAATAGCTTTTTAAAAATATAATTTAATTAGATAATGCTACGAAAGTAATCAATGTTATAAACATTTTATTACATAGATAAAGTGTTTATAACAACAGACGTTAACAAAACATACGACATTGTAAAGTGAACAGATAGGACGATCTGTTACTTCAAGGTGAAAAATGTGACTCAAAAGTTTTATTTTTATCTTTTCTGGAATTTCAGGAAAGTTTACTTTTTAACTAACCAAAAGGAAGATAACAATTGTATATACTATCTATTTCACCTTGCTTCTTAAAAAGTAAAAAAACAACACCAGCTACTACTGAAAACACCGAGTTATTCCACATCACACGAAAGAGACATCTTTGTTCACTACTTTGATACGATTAAACGATTTTCATAAGATTATAACCGAAATATCTATACATTTTAGAACTATCTAAAAATACTCAAACTATTTTACAGTAAATGAAAAAAAAAATTATCTATCTTTCAAATTGTAACATATTATTTAACGACATATAAATAACGAAATGTTGAACTGCATAATATGTTCCCAAACTTTTCCTTCCGTATACCTACTGTTCATATTTGTTATGGGTCATACCACGTTCCACTATTACTGAAAATAAAACTGTTCAAATTGTCAATGCATTTATTTCAAAATTATAAAGTAGTAAAAAATTTAAAAATTACAATATATTGTGTTTTTATAGTATCAGTTTTTTTTTTAACATAAAAATTACAACATTTTAGTAGAAAGGAAACGGGTTTTCAGATATGTTCTTAATGTACTTCAAGTTATGATTCGACGGTTATATTTATAAAATAGCAATGATATGCGTAATAAGAGAAAAAATACCAATCATTGAAAAATTTTTAGGAGAACTCGGAGTAGAATAGTAATCGGTTTATAATAGGAACCATTGGGAGGAATTAGTTTTGGAGGCAAAGAGCTCGTAAAATCTAAAAAATATGTGATCAGGTGTTATACTAACTGCAGTGGCGGCTCCGGAGACATGGTAAGGGAGAGGGGGGAGCAAGTCATAAGTCATTTTCTGGCAATTTCGATGATTTATTTTTGTAATTTTGTGCTTAACTGTATAAAATTGTTTAGAAATACAGCTTGGGAGGGGCGGCCCTGGAGCTGCAGACATTTCAGAATAATGCTGCATTTATGTCGTGCATCTAATAATTTTAGAAACTGGTTTATAGAATATTATTTGGTACAAGTCGTACATATTATGACATCAACCGGTGTGCTGGTATTCCAAGTATTTTTAACTTGAAATATTGTGAGTACGTGATTTACATCGTGTATACATCTAGAAGTGTATTTGAAGCACTATTTGGTTTTTTTGTGAACAATGAAATACCAATCGTAATTTAAGCAAGCAACTTATCTCAATCGTCATATTATACAGATTTTCATCCGTATATAACCCCAACTGGGGGTTTATTTAAGTGAGCGATGTATCAGCTACAACTAATAACCTACAAACGCAACTATAGCTAGTGAGAATACATATTTATATATTTTATTCGTATTCAATTCGGTTTAAGTCTCACTATATCACTATTTGGAAACCTTAATTATACATTTTATGAAAACCATATTTTTTTTAAGTAAACCTATGTTTTAATTATTTACCAATGTCAATTAATTTCAAATAAATCAACTGTTGTGTGAGGTTACATTTTTCTTAATACAGTGAAACCTTATTTTGCATTTCATTTTTAGAAAACAAATGATACAAAACGCCCAAGAAAATGATATAGGTATGTATTTTAATCAACTCTTCAATGTATTTGAGTTCTAAACTAATTTTAAAATAATTTACTATGTACTTAGTAAATTGGGTTATGTAATTTTGCACGTGACCTCGTATAATGTACAGAAATAACAAACTTTGGTGTGACGTAAACTAAAACAAGATATAGTATGTATTAACTTTATAAGTAATATACTATTCAATTATTGTTCTAACTGAAATAGAAGTCATATAAATGTCACACAAAATAGTAATATGTAGTAGGTATATAATACATTTGGTCAAATATAAATTATTATACTTTGATGTAGGTACCTATTACGCGTTACAAGCAAAGACGTTAACGCCCTGGATCATCAAAATATTTACTTGAAAATGTTGAAGTTATTCATAAATTATTTTTTATTCACCCTAAAAATAGATAAAATATGAGTCTAAAATTTAAATTATTATTATTGTCGAAAACATTTTCAAGTATACTTATTGCACGTCAATAATATTTATAATATATTATTGTAGCACGCTATGAAGTGACGTCCGGACTTCCGAGTGTCAGGAACCGGGTGGTGTCACAATAGGTTGTGTTTCGTAATAAAATAACACAATTGAAGTCGCACGTGGTAATAATATAATGTACTCTTTATGGTTTATTCAGTTGACAAACATGACAAAATCGCATTCTATACACTAAATAATTAAACAGACAAATGTTATTTTAAAATTGACCTATTATAGTGACTTAAAGACCATCGGCCGAAGGATAATTTATACAAAATCAAAGTATTATATACCTTTCATATACCTAAATATATATTTGATTTACTTGGGATAAGAACGTAAGGTCAAGATCTTTCATATAATTTAGTATAATAAAAAATACTCATTTGGTACAATGAATAATTAAACAGTATTTATATATGCAGGGTTTTTTTTTTATTATTCAATGAACATTTGAATTTCTAATAATTATATTGTATGTACTAAAAAAATATTTATAATATGTATTTTATTTATTTATTAACAGTTGACTAAAGCTTCCGTTTTCGTACGTCTACAGTCGTGTTTATGTGCGACGAAAATTATAATAACGATCGATAAGACAAACATTCCCATCATTTCTACGAGTTGCAGTAGAGATTGTATAATGTTTGTAGGTATAATAAAATTGTCTCTCTTATAATTGTTGGTTGCAATTAGTGTGGTCTTTTCATAGTGAAGCCTCCGTATTATTTAGATATATAAATAATATATTCCTTCACAACAGAGTAGGTTGTAGGTGCGTCACTTATATATAAATGTTTATTTTAATTTTAATATTATAATATTTATAAGTTATAGTTGTATGGTTTGATCTCCTTTTATTATACAATGTTTATGCTATTAAGATTTCTCTATTTTAATTTACCTAAATTTAGAATATGTTTCATTCATTATAATTTAATTTAATTTCTCCCCCAAAGCATATATTATTTTATTTAATAAATCTATACAAATATTTAATGCTTTACTTCATTTGTTGCGGAGTGGACTGTAACTTTCCGATACTGGTTACTTCGGATACTCAGCTGGTTGATTAGGCTATTATTTTAAATTAATAACTTATACGCAATTGAGCAAATAGAATATTAAATTATTTTATTTTCACTATAATACGGAGCCGACATGTCCCGTTCGCTCTTTTTCGACGACTGCTAAATTAATACCATACAAAATTGATCGAGGGCAAACCCGTCGGCCTCACTAGCCGATAACAATATTATCATTCCGATTATTATAGATATTCGATAGTCGATAACATTTCAACCGATACGTGACATGCCGCCCGCCTTGAAATATTTTTCAAACAACAATAATTATAATACATGAGTACAGGACTAATATCATAACATAATAATGTAACATAATGAATAATAATAGGTATCAAAAAAAAAAAAAATTCTATTGCTGTTACATATTAATAATAATACGAATAAAAATCATACAAATAATTCATAGGTATCAAAAAAAAAAATTTTTTACAAGAATTAATTTATTTTGGCCTTTGATTTAACCATCATTGCCTTCGAATGGTAGTGGACACAGCTTACGCACTGCCCTGGTTAACTCGCCATCAACCGTTTTTACTACCGCGGTACGAATGATGTTGTCACTTCCCCGTGTCACCTCTCTCACTCGTCCGATTTTCCACCGTAAGGGTGGCAGATTATCTTCACTAATTAAAACTACACTGCCGATATCCACTTTGGGTCCCTTTTCACTAGCCCATCTTGACCTCTCTTGCAATTGATGCAAATACTCTCGACTCCAACGTTTCCACAAAATTTGTGAGAATTGTTGAACGCGACGCCAACGGTCTAACCGGTTTACCTGAGTATTTGTTTCATCCCGCTCCGGTATAGACATTAGGGAGTCTCCGATTAGGAAATGAGCTGGAGTGATGTATAATAAATCGGAAGGATCCGAGGACAAAGCCGTTAAAGGCCGAGAATTTAAACACGCTTCTACCCTAGTGAGTATAGTACATAACTCTTCGTACGTTAAATATGATTCGCATAGTACACTTCGTAATAATGATTTCATCGACTTAACCGCTGCCTCCCATAATCCCCCAAAATGAGGCGACCTGGGGGGAATAAACTTCCATTGTACTCCTATTGTAGCCAGACCAGATTGAACGATCTCTTGATGCTTTTGATCTCGGAAAAGTTGATATACTTCTTTTAAATGCCTGTTTGCTCCTACGAAGTTGGTAGCATTGTCGGAATAAATCATAGCACATTTACCCCTGCGATCAAAAAATCGGTTCAACGCATTTAAAAATGACTTTGTGCTCAAATCTATAACGACCTCAATATGCACCGCCTTAGTAGCAAAACATACAAATATACAAACATACCCTTTTGTCGCGGGTGCATTTCGCCTTAAACTCTGTTTTACCATTATAGGCCCCGCGAAATCGACACCGCAGATTTGAAATGCACGAGATTGGATTTCTACACGCTCTCTAGGTAAATTACCCATGATTGGTTGTACCACGGTAGGCTTCATTCGAAAACATTTCACACAACGGTACACGGTCTTTCGAGCTATATTCCGGGCATTAAGTGGCCAATATTGCAGCCGGATCGACGCTAACATTGCTTGTGGACCCCCGTGTAATAACTGTTCATGCTCCCGTTGAAACAACAAATTTGTATACGCGGACTCTTTTGGTAATAATATGGGGTGCTTTTGAAAAATGCCTAATGATAACGCATTTTTTAGCCGCCCGCCCACACGGATTAATCCCTCTTCGTCGAGAAACGGTCTCAATCTGAATAACTTGCTTTTCGACGATACCTGACCATTTTCCGAATTTAATTCATTTAACTCCTTTTCAAAATGGTCCTTTTGTACTTTAATTAAAAGTCGCAAATTTGCATTATGTAAATCAGTTGTTGTTAAAACTCCGCACTCTGCTCTTTTTGGTTCTTTTATTTTATTATAAAAACGCACGCAATAGGCGGTAATTCGTATTATTTTATTCAACGACGAATACTTGTCAAATATAGAAAATGTATCCGTGGTAATACCGGAAAATTCTATAACGTTTTGTTTTTCAGGAATATTTTTACCATTTAATTGATGGTGTAAAACCTCATTTTTTGCCGGCCAATCCTCTTTATTTAAACACAACCACTTCGGGCCATACCACCATAATTCCATAGCCGCAATTTGTGACGCATCACACCCGCGCGATATTAAGTCAGCTGGATTGTCGTGTGTACTAACGTGGGACCACTCACTAGTGCAGGATAAATCCTGAATCTCTCCAACCCTGTGGGCAACAAATGTTTTCCACCTGGTGGACGGTGACGAGATCCAAGCAAGAGTAATAGTAGAATCCGACCAAAAATATTTTCTCTCTATTTCTAGTCGTAATTTTGGAATTACACGATGCTGCATACGCGCCAATAGTAACGCAGCACATAGTTCTAGTCTCGGTAATGATATCGTTTTTAACGGTGCGACCTTAGATTTGGCGCATATAAGTCTCACTGTATGTGTACCTACTTCGTCCGTACTACGTAAATACAAACATGCGCCATAAGCTTTTGTCGATGCATCAGCAAATCCATGAATTTGGATATTTATGATTTTATGTTTACTAATAATCATATGCGGAATTACTAGTTTATTTAGTCGCGGTAAACATTTTTTGTATTGTAGCCATTCGTCGGATACGTCTTTCGGTAATTGTTCGTCCCAGTTTACACGTAACTGCCATAAATTTTGCATAAATAATTTAGCTACTACTACCACTGGACCTACTAAACCGAGGGGGTCGAATATTGTAGCTATTTCGGACAGTATTTTTCGTTTGTTAATAATTTCCGTATTTTCAACGTATTCGCTTACTTTATACCGTAATACGTCGTCGCTCGGTTCCCAGAATAGGCCTAGTATTTTTGTTATCGCACAATCGAAAACACGCACGTCGTTACCCGCACCTTTGTCACCGACCGACATATTACTATTTATAATACTAGGGTCATTGGACGACCACTTCCGTAGCTCGAAACCCGCTTGCTCTAATATTGACAGTACTTCATGTTTTAACCTTATAGCTTCTTCTTTTGTTGACGCGCCACTCAAATAGTCATCCATATAAAAATCCCTTTTTATGGATTCACGTGCACGTAGGTAATCGTTTCCTGTCTCAGCCAATTTTTCTAAACAAGCTGTTGCTATGAAAGCTGCAGGTACTGTACCGTAAGTTAATGTGGTAAGACGATAAACTTGTATTGGCATTTTTGGATCGGCTCGCCACAATATCCGCTGATAGTTACAATCTTCGTTAGCTACTTTAATTTGTCGGTACATTTTTGTAATGTCAGCTGATAAGACATAATTATAGGTACGGAAACGCGCTAATATGTATAATAGTTCGTCCTGCAAAACGGGCCCTTTTAATAATAAATCGTTCAAGCTGTTGCCAGATTCTGTCTTACAGGACGCGTCAAACACCACCCTCACCTTGGTCGTCGTACTATTTTCATTTATAACCGCGTGATGTGGCAAATAGCAACTCTTTTTATTTTCCTCGTCCTCTTTTTCAATTACCCGTTCCATATGGCCTAACGCTTCATATTCGTGCATAAATTGCGTATATGCTTCGCGTAGAGGTATATTATTTCGGAGTCTATTCTCGGTCGCCGCCCATCGCCGCCTTGCGATCTGATACGATTTTCCTAATGCGGACGCGTTATTTGTATTTTTAAACGGCAAACGGATAATAAAACGTCCGGTTTTGTCCCGTTGGACTGTTTTGTCAAAATGACTCCTACACATTTTTTCTTCTAATGTTAAAGGTGGGTCCGTCTCCAATTTTTCTATACGCCAAAACTTTGATACCAAATTTTCAAAATGCGTGTCATTTTCCACACACGCTGTCGTGTGTGTTACGCTACTTACGTTCTTGGTATCCTTACAGCTCTTTCTTAAGACCGGTCCAGCTACCACCCAGCCGAAACGTGTTTCCTGAAATATCGGTCCGGCCACGTGCTGTTTAATTTGGCCGGTACATATTATTTCAAAGAAATGTTTGTTCCCTAGTAACAAATCTATTTTTTGCGGACGTCTAAATAACGGGTCCGCGAGATTTATATCATTGGGAGCTACGCAATTTTCAACCTCATTATTAGGCATACAATGTGTGATCTTTTGTACCACTAGGCAGGTCAATATTAAATTGAAACTATTATATCGCGATGTAATTGAAACATTTACAGCCCGCGTAACCGGTTGTGTTATCCCACCGATACCCATTACTGTGTGCTGCACTTGATACCTTTTTAATCTTATATTTTGAACCATATTTTCGGTAATTAAATTACACTGTGAGCCGGAATCTAACAATATACGGCATTCGACGTTTTCACCGCTAGCATTGTGTATATGCACCACCGCTGTTGATAATAATACCTGTTCGTCATTTTGTACCAGCGTATGCGCACTTATTGATGACGATGCCGCCGACGTGCTCTCTTCTGCATTTTCAGTTGAATTTTTGTTACCTTGTTCTGCATTTTTAATTTGCGCTAAATGCAACAATGTATTATGCGGCTTCGAACACTTGAAGCAATATTTCGCAAAGCACTTTTTATTTTCGTGCTGACGTAAACAAATCTTACATAATTTTAATTCAGTTACTTTATTTATTCTCTCTTTTATCGGTAAAGCAATTAACGTTGGACATTTATAGATAGTGTGCGGCAACTGACACACGTAACACTTTAAACCCGCACTTATCATTAAAGACGAAAATTGATTATTATATTTGTTCGATTTGCCTTGCCCTGTCGATCCGTTACTAATAGCACCTCGCGTACTACTATGTACGTTTTTCGCTGATTCGATGGCTTCTAATATTTTAAATCGATTTTCCAGAAATTGCATTATCTCTGAAACTTCAGCAATCCTGTCTTTAGGGCTGCCCGCCTCCCACTCTTGTAACGTTTTTTTGTCTAATTTGGTACTAATTAAGTGCATTAATAACGGCCCCCAACTTTCCGGTTCTTGCTCTAACGCCTCTAGAGCTCGCATGTGACCTGACAACGCATCGAAAAAATACCTAAGTTTTATTGCCGAGTCACTCTGCAGCGCATCCAAATCAAATATTGCCCGCACATGAGCTTGAATTCGCACTTTTTTATTATTATACCTAGCACACAGAATGCTCCACGCTTTTTCATAATTATTTGCTGTGGTCTCCAAACTTCTTATCGAGTTCAACGCCTCTCCTGATAGCGCTTCGCGCAAATGAAAAAACTTCGATACGGGCAATAGGTCCGGGTGTGTATGTACCAATGCCGTAAATGTATCATAAAACGACGCCCATTCTAAATAATCCCCATTAAAAACAGGTACTTTTAATGCTGCTAATTTCACTTGAGGCGCCATACTGTTTCTCCCTGTACTTCTTTCGCTCGCTATCGCCATACTTCCTCGTTCAGAGGTAGTCTCCTTTACCATTCCTAGTGATACAATTTTATTTGCTTCTACTATAGCCTTAAAGTATAGATCTTCGAACTCCTTACGGTACGCCGTGCTTTCGTTTAAATTCTCCGTCAATTCAAGTGCCGTTTGAATTTGGTCAAATTCATGCCAAACTTCTTCGATTTTTTCCCTTCTTAATGATACTTGATTTGGATCCAATTCTTCACTTTGTAGGTAAGTCAAGAATCTCGTAACCGTGCCTTTTAATTGGCCGCGTCTTATCGTGAGATTTCTCTCGTCAGCCGCCATATCAATTATTCTCGCGTTACTATTTCGGCTGAATATAATATATATTATATCTCACTTATTACGTTAAACCTGTTGGCGTTATCTGCGTTTATTCGACCTGCTTCACATACTACGTACAAGCTTTTTTTTTTTTACTCACTAGGGGAAACCCAAGGAAATTTTACACAGGAATTATTTTTAATCAGAGACTCTTACCTTTATGCCAGACGTTGTAAGACAATTTTTCTCGAGAGGCCCAGCTATTGCTCGGGAAATTCGATCGTCGCTGAGGTTATTGATTTGCCCCTTTTTCGCCATACACCATATAAGCTGTAGTACTGTACTTGCCAGCTGCCTGCACGCCCCTATGGATGTATTGTATATTGTTTTCTTGATTTTCGAAATATACGAATATCCGATTTATTTTGATCGCAAAAGCCACGTAACAATTTTACCACGCATATGCGACGCACAATTTTATTTAATCCGCAGTTACTTTGTAACTTTAACTCTCGCACTATACTCGATTAACGCCTCAATACGAATTACGCTTTCCTAATCAACACTGAATATCCGGGTCGATGGACCAAATGTTGCGGAGTGGACTGTAACTTTCCGATACTGGTTACTTCGGATACTCAGCTGGTTGATTAGGCTATTATTTTAAATTAATAACTTATACGCAATTGAGCAAATAGAATATTAAATTATTTTATTTTCACTATAATACGGAGCCGACATGTCCCGTTCGCTCTTTTTCGACGACTGCTAAATTAATACCATACAAAATTGATCGAGGGCAAACCCGTCGGCCTCACTAGCCGATAACAATATTATCATTCCGATTATTATAGATATTCGATAGTCGATAACATTTCAACCGATACGTGACATCATTCTTATATGTTCATCTGGTGTATTATTTCATTACACTCCGGTCGCGAACCTCGGCTGTAGATTGACAAATCTACAAAATATGCCTGGCAAATGTGGCTTTATAGACTCGGAGTACAATGTGCGAGGTAAATATAGGTATAATTGACAATAAATGTAGTATGACATTATTAAGCTATGTGACAAATTGTATAATTATTTATTTATTAAGATTTGACGGGCTAAGCCCTTTAACAATAGTGCATAGCACATACATATATATATATATATATATATATACAATAACAATAACAATACTAAATTTACAGTATACTAAGATTTACAAATATTATTTAATAATTTAAAAAGAGGAGGAGGGGCCCACGTTGACAAGGGACATTATACACCTAATAGGTCCATTTAACATATAGTTTGTGGAAGATAGTGGAATGGAAAAAGGGACGGAATGCTGGACATAATATTTTTTAAAAACTAAAGATTTAGTGAATATCGGCGATCGGTCAAGGAATTGAAACTGACTCTTGTAAGTTGTAGCTACAGGTTTATAATCATGTTGCGTATCAGGGATTTGTAGCAAAGAACCAGTGAACATAAGAAACCGTCTCTGCACAATGTCATGTTCAATTTGGAGAGAGCCCCCAATTGTATTGGATTCCCAGATTAAGCTGCCATACTCTAGATTCTAGAATAATCAGCACCAAAAGTAGATTACCTTAAAGGATGATCCGTTACTGAAAGAATGAACAGTTCACTTAATAAATCCAAGTGATTTCAATGCCTTAAAACATACCATGTCTATAATATGAAGTCTAGAATCCAGACAACTTGTTTGTTTAAAACCTAGACCAAGCACAAAGCCATTAGATCACTGTAAAGTGATACATTATAAGACAATTTTATTTGACAGTGTCTGCTCTTGAAAGCCATCACACTACATTAGCTTATATTTAATTTAAGTCCCATAGACTTAAACCAGTTTTGTAGTTAAACACAATATTCCTGTGACACAATGCGCATGAATAGTTTCATGTCATCAGCGAAACAGAGAAGATGACTGGATTCCAAGGTACTGGAAGTGCCACCAACAAATTACCTATGAAAAATGGCCACCCTGTGGAACTCCTGATGAAGCATGAAAAACAGTTAACTTAGTACCACAGATATACGTAGACCCATTGATGTATGTTCTGAAGACAGGACTCAAACCAAGACCAGAAAACCTAAACCAGATATTTTTAGAGTTTTAATAATTATTGTGGATCAATGGTGTCCAAATAATGTATAAATGTATAATATAATACAATTATCTTTTTTGGTTCAACAAATGTTTGAACAACTGTAGCTATTCTGGCTCAACAAATAGTTATAAATTATAATATAAATGGTAAGCTATTGGAACTACTATAAAATATAATAAATAAGAATAACACTGCTAATAGAGGTAGCAGTATATTCAAGATAGGTAGTAAAATATTATAGTAAATAATCAATCAGCTCTTTGATCCTATGTTATAATATTACTCTAAGCAATTAGACACATATTAGAATAAAAACTCGGGCATATTGCAAATACTAGCATATGAAGGTAAAATTATTTTGGAGTAGGTAGGCGATGAATTGTGGTTTTTCCTATTCAATGATAAAAAAAAAATAGGGTAAATAACACAACAATATTAACAATACATAATAATATTAAAATTTGATTAAAAAAAAATATATATTAATAGGATAAACACACAAGTACCTACCAAATATTATCCACATTTAAAAACCAACAAGGAAAGAACAATTTGATAGAATATAAAATTATTAACATTTAATGGTTCCATTTTTAGTTATAAATAATTTTAGTTAAAGTTATATTTTATCATATAAATTACACATAAAAACTGACCCATTGGTCTGAAAAGCGTTAATATATAAAACAGCTTAAACATTGTGTATAGGTATTTTCATAAAAATAGTTGTCTTTCTAGTTTCTATCCACATATTTTATTCAGTGTCGTATTTTTCTAGCGTAGATAATATAGTCGTTCTTTTTTATCTTTTTCTTTTTTATCCTATATATTCCAGATTCCCAATACTTTTCCCTTTTCTTTTGGCTAAGAAATTGTGGTTAAGATAGCATAAAAACGATGAACAGAGTTAACAAAAAGGGTAGAGAAATAAAACGAGGATATAAGTACTGAATGTATTCTGAAAAATACGACTGTAATACTGTATATTATATATATATAATATCAGTGTATATTATGTTGCCATATTTGCCCGACTGTACCCGACCTTCTGAGAGGGTTTTATCAGTTTTATACAGTAATTTGACAAAATTGATACAGAGGCATTTTAAATGTTGGCAACACTGCCATAATACAGCCCAAACATAATGCCCGACCATAATGCATTACGTGACTTATTGTTGTCTCTACCCTCCGTAGCCCTTAAAAAGTTTCCCTTCAATAACTATTATAACAAAAATAATAAATAAAATCCGACTATTTTAGCCGATTACCTTATCATATGAACCATGAGGTATGGTCGAAGACACAAAAAATAGTTTACCACTTTGCTAAGAGTCACCAAACATGCACAAACTTTATCTGGTAAGCAGACAAGAAATTTATTATATATATTTTTTTTTTTTGGTGAATTAAATGAGGTTTTATACTAATTTTTTGATTTTATTTTCATCAGATAAACATAATATACATTACATTTTGATGGACTCCAAAAACTTCCTGAATTCCTAAAGTGGTATAAAATATTAATTGGTGATCCCTGGACTTTACTATGCAATGTGTGTACCTACATCACTGATACTGAAGACGAACAAGGGTGTAAAATAACGTAAAATATGAAATATTTTTTAATCGTATTCATAAAAAATAATAATAACTACTTAATAAATTTAAAGTTAAAATTAAGTGGTTGTTTAATGCTATATTATACAAACAGAGATAACTAATTCAAGGAGATTAAAAATATTATACGTGACAGTTCGTGCTACTTGACGAACATAATGCTCCTATAAAATACAAAAATCATAACACATAATAACAACAATCACGATATTTAAAATAAATCATAAAGACAGCTAAATGATAATATTATATTGTGTGCGTATTTGTATGTGAGTTGGCTAGTAATGGCATTTGCACGTAGGTACCTACGTCAATAAAATACAAAAACAAAATAATAATCATCATCATCACGATCACTGCTCGGTTCTGGCTCAAACCCCCTTAGTACATAAATAACTATTCGTTCAAATTTCGATTTATATACAACATTAAAAAAAAAAAAATCATTAATTTCCTAACAGTAAATCATAGTTTGTAAAATTTGATCTTGTTTGAAAAATATTAGTTTGTGTCAATATTCACTACAGGACACTACTTATCTAAATAATTTAAAATAAAATCTTATGTATACTTCAAAAATCAAAATATCCGAATTTGAATAAATTCATTGTTGAAAGAAAAAATGGAAGGGTAATAAATTAAGACTGTCCCAATAAAAATAACCGTTATAGCAAAATCAAGCAAGTGGTAAGACAGATTATAAATCAGATGATAATCTTATCATCGAACATTCATTATTTCAAAAAGTATAAATGTTTGAAAAAAAATGCTTACATAACTTCTAGTCGTTAAAACGACACTTTTAAAAAAATATTTATATATTTAAATATTTTTTATCCTTAACATTTTTTAAGTTTTTTACTTTTTTAAATGACAACATACAATTTTAATTTCATATTCCAAAGCAGAAAATTTGTCTAATTATTTCTATACATAAAAATCCAATTTAAAACTAGTAGTTTATGAGTTATTAGTATTTAAAGTTTAGATGAATAGAGTACCTATAGTGTGATAGATACGTGGTTACGCTGTAAAATATTAGTCCACTACTCTGCTCATCTAAACTTTAAATATTTAATACTTAACCTAAATTCGATTTGCATAATATATGTATCAAAATACTCTGATAATTATTCTCTGCTTTTGAAGATGATATTAAAACCACATGTTGTAATTTAAAAAAGTAAAACTTAAAAAAATAAAAAGATTAATAATATATAATTTTTTAATAAAAACGTTGTTTTGTAACGACTTTAAATCATGTGAAAA